TATATATAATATATATACAGGGTGATTCCTATAGTACCTGCCACCGTTTGGGAGCGTATAGGGGGTGCCTAGGGGAGTATTTTGATATAGGACACTTGGGGTCGGAAATCTAAAATAAGGGCGCCAGAACCAAATTTATCTTCTGGAATTTCACGGCTGTATGTAGGCAACCCAACCGACCGACGTTTCGCGCGGAGCGATGCAGAGCGAGTTAGCGCGAGGAAGCGACATGGGAGGGAAGGAGGGAAAACGACAGTCAAAAGCAATAACGTTTACAAGTGTTCAACGTGGCCACCGTTGTTCTCAATGCACTTCCTACATCTAGCCAACTATTATTATACTATTGCCATAGTGTTTATTCACTTGATACGCGTCGTTGCAGACGGGATTTCGTGGGTTTAAACAAAATTCTGATCAAGTGTCAGCCACACATCGCCGCCTGAGATCGCTCCGTGTGCACCGCCGGCCGGTTGGGTTGCCTACCTACAGGCGCGAAATTCCAGAAGGTAAATTTGGCTCTGGCACCCTTATTTTAGATTTCCGACCCCAAGTGTCCTATATCAAAATACTCCCCTACGCACCACCTACACGCTCCCAAGATTTCAGCTTTCCTTAGGTCTGGCCTGTCTGTTTTATAATACCTGTAGGCTTTTAAAATTTGCATTTTCGCATCTGAATTTATGATTTTCGGCATATTTGCTTAATAAAAATCACAATTGTCTGATACGTATCCATGACGCTGATATTCAAACATATTAGGTCTAGTGGCAAACAAAGTGTGAAAGCACTGACAACATTGTACGTTTAACCTCAAATAGTCAAATTAGACATTCCTGTACTTCGCAGCCATTGAACTATATACTCTGTAACTGGAACGGCATCGAGCGCCTAAATTGCGTGCCGCAATGATTTTAGGCAACCAGCATAACGTAGGTATTCTCATCCTTGTCTGGCACGTTGTTTTGTATTGCATATGCAGGACCGATCACACGTATTTGGTTAAAAATACAGATAAGTAAATAAACTGGGAGGTTAGGGCCTTAGAAAGATAAAGATAAATGCTTGTCGATGCTTTTACAAGTGCCAATATCTATTTGTTAATGGAATATCTTAAAATATATACTTAATAATGTGGTAAACTGCGCCATTTCTCACTCACACACTCACATACTTGATTCTTGAATCTTGAAGTTACAAAAGTATAATGTCAATAATGTCATTCATGGTGGCTCAACGCATTCCATTTGCTTATTAACGTAAAATAAAGTTAGAAACATTCGTTGTGTTTGTTTGTAACGTACCCTTTACATAATATATTAGCAAGGAGGCAAGGACCTAATACAATTACAATTGGCGTCGAGGTAAACGTAAATTTAAAAAAGCATTTTTTTTTAAATAAAATGAGTTTAAGTATCATGGTTACTCTAAGAGCAAAAATTCAATTTACTCGCAGTGGTCACCGCATTGCCATTAGATGGAAACGAATTGACACGAATGTCTTATGCTGGTTTTATGGAACGTTTGTTTCTCGGACGAGACTGGAATTTGTCCAACAGCAAAAATATTAAATGCGCGCGTCGAGGTTGAAAAATTTTATCAAAACGTACCCATGAAATTGAATATTTGAATTTTTATTATAAAAATGATTGCACGTATATGCAACACAATTCATGACCATTCTTGCAAATCTCTAAATAACTTAATTTAGACAAAAATAAGCAAAATGTAAGACGTAGTATAAACCATCCCATAAGCCCACATGAGTTAAACAAGGTAAGGGATACCTACCTCTACCCATCTCTCTCTCACAAAAATTCGCCACGGCCCCTGGCAATGGCTG